ATTATTGTAAAAACAGAAGGATAACTAGTAAAACATGTATTGAGATCTAAGAAGGGAAGGGGTGGGAACAGAGGGGTAAGAGTGGGCAGAGGGGAAATTACAGGGTCACACAATATGATGGTTGGGGAGAGGGGACAAAGGAAATGGGAAAGATCCAGTGGGGATCTGGAAAGACAGGATAATGATGGGTGTGGTTTAATGGTGATTGCTTTTCTAAAACATAATGAATGAGAATGATTATGAGAAACACAATGTGAGTGAAGGATAGTGTGAAACACAATTTATACAAATTTTGAATTGCAAACCAATGTAAAATTTTAAAAACTAAAATCTTATTCCAAAATAAAAAGGGATGTTACAATGTGGATGAGTCTCCAGACATGCTCAGTTAAAGAAATCAGTCACAAAGGACCACATATTATGTGACTCCATTTATATGAAATACTAAAAATAGGTAGACACAGAAAATAAGGTGCTGATTGCCAGGCACTTGGGGCGTCGGGGAGAAGAGGGAGTGACTGCCCTGTGGGCCTGGGGTCTCTAACTAGATAGAGATTGTGGCAGAGGCTGCAGTTGTACAACAACATGAATGTGCTAAAAATGGCACTGAATTATTAAATTTAAAATGGTGAATTTCATGAAATTTTTTAAATGCTCTTAAGCAGTTAGAGATACATGCTGAAGTATTTATGAGTTAAATAGCTGAAAGTCTGCTCTGAAATGCTCTTGAACAAAAGTGGCAGCATAGATAGACGACCTGATGAATGCTAAAGCTACAGGGAGTGCTGGTGGTCTAATGGTAAGGCCTTGTGCTGCCAATTCAAAGGTAGGTGGTTCTAGCCTACCAGCTGCTCCGTAGGAGGAACATGGGCAATCTCCTCCCAGGCAATTTGGAAACTGGGGAGCAGGGAGAGTTTTCCTGAGATAAGTTTCTGCTCTCAGCCACCTCCTTCCCTTTTTACAGTCAGAATTCACCTCTCTCCTGTTTTCTGGAATATTAACCCACTTGCATTGAGTGTATTCTATTTACAGTGACCCTGTAGGACATAATACTGCCCCACAGGGATTTCAAAGCTGAGAGCCTTTCTGGGAGCAGACTGCCACATCCTTCTACCCCCGATCAGCTAGGTGGATCCAAAACACCTTTTGGTCTCCAGCTGGGTGATATGGACCAAGTGCTCCTATCTGAAATATTACATCTATTGCTGTCAAGTCTACTCCAACTCAGGCCAACACTCCCCATCAGGTTTCTGAAACTGCAAATTTTTATGGAAGGAGACTGATCCTGTTTCTCCCATGATGCAGGTGGTGGATTCAAAACACTCAATTTTTTCTTAGCAGCCCTTCGTCTAACACATCACTCCACCAGAGCTCCTTATCTGAAACACTAGGCACTTCCATTTTATCTTTTAGTACAGCCTTTTCCATTTGGTTGAGTCTTATCTGCCCTAGAACCTACATCTTGCATTCAGGGGTCGCCTGGCCCTTACCTGTCACTTCCCCCACAGAGCTGGAACATAATCAATGTTGGTTCAGCTGAACTGACTGACCTCTTCAGTTTCCTCGGCTCTGTGAGTATGCCCACTGCTGAGTCTCCTCTACCGGGCAAAGAATCCTCTCCACAGGCCACAAGGTTCACAGACAAAGGCTCCATGGCCATTTACAGAAGGTGGCAGCAGGGGTGAGAGCTGGGCACACAGCCACGTCAACACAGGCAGACTGTGTTGCAAGGTCAAATGAGCTGGGGAACCACTGTGCACGGGAGGGAGGAGCCCCAGGCTCTAGCCATCATTCCTCTTCTCCATCTCTTCCCTACTAACCTCGGGCATCTGCGGAGTCATCAGTTACCAGGCTATCTCCACCTTTGCATTGCAAAGTCAGCACACGTGCTCAGCGCGGCTGCCTCAGAGCAGGGACGGGGGTTATGGCCTCCCTCAAGTGTCAACTCTCCAGTGGGAATCATTATGCAAGAAAATGTCACTCCTCACTCTCACTCCCATCTCACAAAGTCAAGGATGGCCACTGAACAGAGCATAGAGGTCAACCTTTTTATTCAGAGTCTGGTGAATTAAAAATCCACCAATGGCAGAAGGGCCTGGAGCACAGAGCAGCACATGCTCTCGGTACCAGAGCTACATTCCACCCTCCACGCTCCATCTCACAGTGGCAACCCCGCCCTGCCCTGGCCCGCCACTGCTAAGATGCCAGAAGAGTGAAGCTGGTCTTCCAGCTGGGCATTCTCTAACAACAGCATGTCCACAGGCCTCCTTAGATTCCCCGTGATGTCCAATTACGATGCCAAAGGAGAATGAGAAGAAGGAGGGTCAGGTGACAAAAGAAAGCGGTAGCCTTCTCTGATTTTCCCAAAGACCAGTTCCTCAGTTCACTTCCACTCTCTTGAGATGACGCTGTTTGTATTTATGAAACATCTAAGTGAGAAGCAGTGTTGTCGTGGTGTGCCATAGAGTTGGCGTCCACTCACAGCTGACCCTCCAGTGAGTTTTCAGAGGCTGTCAATGACATGGGAGGATACTGCCCATCTCTCTCCCACTAGGTAGCTGGTGGATTCAAACCACATGCCTCAGAGTTGGCAGTGCAACTTCTTACCACTAAGCCACCAGAGCTCCCTGGATCTGAACACAGGGATTCCACTAAAGTGAGAAAACCCACTTTGGGTTCAGATTGAAGTTCTGGGGAAGATTAGTTAGATGACAAATCCAACCTAAAAAGTGACAGTGTTAAAGTCCCAACTCCGAGGTCTCTCCCAGCACAAGAAGTATGTGACGGACTGATGCCACGGTTCTGAAACAACTGCTTCTCCCTCCCTCCCTTCCTCCCTTTGCCCAGTCTCCCGAATCCAAATCATTGCCAACATGTCCTTCTTTCACTGCATTTTATTTTGATCTTCACAATTAAGTTTGCTCGGCATTGTTCTGTCAGCAGCTTCCTCTCCACAGGATGCCTGGCTGAATGGGGTAAAGTTCTGTTGACATGGCCAAACGAACCTTACAAATTTGGCAGTGCCTTATGCCAAATAGTGTCACAGGATCACTATGAGGCAGAATCAACTTGACAGCTACGAGTTTGGGTTTGTTTTTGGGTTTTTTGTTTCATATTTAATATTAAACAAGTACATAATGTACCAGATAGGGCAGGTAAGTCCTTAGAAAGATTGGAGATGGGTCACTGCACCAGTTCTCCCAGGCTGGGCACAGGAAATGGGGTTGGGTTTTTTTTTTGCCAGTGTTTATTGATTCCAAGATGCTTCAAATATCTGAAATCAGGACACATGTCCCAATCGATGGTGTCGCTGCTCCAGTTATCGGCCTGGCACAAAAGCAGGCACATCCAGGGAGAACTACACTATTTCCCCAGCCATCAAGGGCCGACTGGCCCCAAACCATTTGGCATTAGACTCTGCTGGAAATTCTTGTGGTTCAAACTTAAGAGTTGAATTCACAACACCAACCTGTATAAGTACCTCTGCCTCAGGCTCCTGTTCTCAGAGGAGTTTTCTTCCTTCCATTGAGTGTCCAGGGTGAGACAAATGGTTTCCTCGCATTCCACTTCTGCATGGTGGCTTCACCCTTTCATGCGGGGCATCCCGGCTTTATTTGGAGGCAACCTATTGGATGCCCCATCTTGGCCTCTTTTTCCTTCCTTAAACCAGCTGCTGTTGGGTCAATTTTAATCCTGGTAACCTATGCGTGTCTCAAAGTTTTGGGCGATAAAGGGACCAAAGTCCTGTGTTTCCCAGTGCTACCACTCACTTTCCTCAGAAATTCTCATGCACCATTTTGCCCTTTTGGGACCCAGTCCCCAACGTACATACATGAGGAAGCTCATTGAGTCTCTTTTGTCTTCATTCTCAACATAAAATAGGCCCAGAGGTGGCCTTAGGGTTGATGTCACCTAGTGCAGTAACTCATGGTGTCACCAACCTGGACCTCCTCCCCTGACCATCAAGAATTCTCCAAACAAAAAAAAAAGCCCCATTGTTTCCAAGTCTGTGCCAACTCATGGTAATCCTACAGGACAGAGAAAAAACCTGCCTGGGAGGACTTCCAAGGCTGTACGTCTCTACAGCAGCCTGGCTCACCTTTCCTCTGAGGAGCAACAGGTGGGTTCACAATGTCCCCCCTTCTGCCCTCAGTGATGGCGTAGGGTGTAGGAACAGTGAACTACACCTTCTGAAACATGACTCCTGGAGATTGACCACAGGCATGTAGCAGTCACCTAGCAGAATGCATAAAGTTGCTGACTTTGCCTGTGTGTTCTGAACTTTAATATAAAGGTTGATATATATTTACAGCAAAGCCTCACTACTTCTCCCCATCCAGTGCACACGGTTCCTCTATGCTGACTAGCTTCATCTATACTGACTAGCTCAGGGTGATTCTGCATGAGTAGCTGTCCCTCTCGGAATAGATTTCCCCATCTCTTACATGGAAACAATAATAATAATTAATAATAATATCCACTTTGCCATCTCAGAGTTTTTGAAGGATCAAATGAGGCCACAGGCATACTGGGTTTGGTAAATGAAAAGTCAATGCAAACTAAAGGCATTATCTTCCCTAATTCATTTTAAGTCTTTGCTTCTTCAGTAGGAAGCACCAAGCTGATTTGTTATCCCTCGTCTATTAAAATATTACCAAGATCTGCAATCCATAAGGTTTGTAGGCGAGAAGTGGGATATGAATAGATCATCAGTTCAAATCAATTATCAAGCATCTCCCCGGGGCCAGCATTTCTCCTCCTGGAGAAGAGTTCACCAGGGCTTTCTACTGCACACTAGTCATTCTCTAATTGCTCTAAAAGCCTGTCTTCCCTGCCAGCACCCTCCCCAGAAAGCCAGCTTGGAGAGGAAGCACATGGAGAATGAATAGTTAACTAGAACCTGCAGGATAATTCTAGCTAATCATCCCAGCGGGGCACTTGAGAGCACGCTTCTGTAGGCCATCCAGGGTGGTTTTTTTTTTCTGCCTGGATTTGGAGGCTCAGAACTTCAGGTTGGCCAGGACTTCCTCACTACACGTTCTGCTGAGCAGCTCCGTGAGGGATTCACTGGCATCCTGGTGGAACATCGAGGCCAGGCCTTCTCTGCTTCCACTCTCCAGCTGGATGCTGCCCACCAGATCCTGGATCCACTGCAGGTCTGCTGAAAGCTCCTGCCTCAGAGCCTCAAACTGCCCCTGCAGATGGTCCAGTTTCTTGGCCACGCTTCCAAGGCTGGACGCTGTGGCCTGGATGTCTTCACGCAGGAGCTTCTTCAGGGACTCCACTTTACGGAACTCATACCTGAGCTGGGAAAGGTGGTGCCGCGCACTCTCGCTCTCCTCGCGGTACCACGCCTCCTTCTCATTGTAGATAGAGACCAAGGCCTCCACGTCATCCTGGATGGTGTCATGGGCCCCTGCCAGGGAGCGGCACCCCTGATCCACCAGAGCCATGTCCTCCACCACGTGGGCAAAGCGCTCAAAGTTGACATAGGTGTTGTTGGGGGGCATGCTGGAGTGGCACTTGAGGGTATATTCTCTCAGGCTCTTGGTCTTCAACTGCACAGGCTCTGACTTCCGTTGTTCAGGGGCTCTTACTTCTCCTTTGGACTGGTGGGTATTCGGACAGAAGAACCAGAATGTTAAATCTGACACAAGATCCAAGGAAGAGTTTGAGATGCAGGCGGTAGGCATGCTTGTTGGCATGAGTGCACACGTCAGGCGAGATGAGCCAGGGCGAGAGGAGAACCATGCAGGGGCGCTGCCTGCATGCTCCCTTCAGGGCAGGGGGGCCCAGAGCCATTAGAGAGGGTCTCCACACGCATAGCATTTAATGGGCAATCATACAGACAAGCAGACTATGGTGAGCACCTTGAGGGGAATTCCCTCATGGGTGAGAGCACACAAGGCCAGGGCTAACAGAGAGGCCTCCTGCCCTTTGACAATGGCATGCTGAGCAGGGAGGCAGCCTGGACACTCCCCAGCTCTGTGCTTTGGGCCAACCCCAGACCTAGAAGTTTCTGTCCTTTCCTGTCCTTTAAGGGGCAGATAAACCTGACCTTATCACAAACCACTCAATCCTTCCTCCCCCTCCATTTTCCATGACCTTCATAAACCAAACAAACCAAAACACAGTTGCCACCAAGTCAATTCCAATTCAAGGGATCCCGTATGTGTCACAGCAGAACTGTGTCCCACAGCGTTTCCAATAGCTGTGACCTTTCAAAAAGCAGCTCATCAGGTCTTTTGTCTTAGGCACCTTTGGGTGAATTCAAATCACCAACCTTTCAGTTAATAGCTAAGTGCTTAACCAATCGTGCCACTGAGGCTTTGAACCTTTCTTACTGGCATCACCTCCACATGCATATGCACATCCTCTCCTTCTTCTCATTTAACAAGTAAGACAAAAGGGAAGTCAGGTAATGTGCCTGAGAGTCACACAGCTAATCTGTCAGTGGAACAAGGCTGAAATTCTGGTCTCCTGACTCCTGTCTCCCCAAAGTGCCAGGATGGAAGAGCCTCTGAAAATTCAGCAGCTCAAGTACACGGAGAGTGGGAAGGAATTCACTATTTTGTCCCCTGTCTCCCTCCCCACAGAGAGATAAAATCACCCTAACAGGATGAGAGGATAGCTGCCTCTCTTCCTTATCAGGCCTCCCCCCAGGAACTTGTAAGTTCTTTAAGGCCCAGGGTGGGGGAGGAGGGGAAAAGAAGGAGAGAAAGAGGGAAGGGGGAAGAGAGGGAGGGAGGGGGGGAGAGAGAGAGTGAGAGTGCGCGCATATGGAGCAATGTTGGTGGCCAGGTGAAGGGGGACCAAGAACAAAAATTAGGAAGAAATGTTACAATGTTAAAGTTTTTCCTTGGTATTGGCTTCTCTCTATGACTGTTGTTTTATTTGTTATTGTATAGAGTCAGAAATGACTCCTATGTGACCCTCCAGCTAGTTTTCAGAGGCTACAAATCACAAGGGAGGAGACTGCTCAGTGTTTCTCCCACAGAATAGCTGGTGGATTTGAACTGTCAGCCTTTGGGTTGACAATTCCTTACCACTAAGCTACTAGACCTGATAATTTACAAAACTCAAGCTCTATGACTAGAAGCTCTGAAAAATAACAGTGGCTTAGATCTTCCAATAAAAAAATTTCTTCGTAAGCTGGCCTCAGAGATAAAGGGCTTCTACTGAAATGTGTACGTTTCACAAAGAATCAGAATCTGTGAAACATAAACCTATCTGAACAAGCCCAGACCCTCCAGGGCCCCTGACTAGCTTTTGAATCCATGCTGGGGGCTGGTGTGTCAGTCTTGGCACCAGGGCCCCCCTGCCAGTCCAAGCAGCAGAGCAGAAACTCACAGCCACGCCCTTACCGTGATCCAGGGGTGCCTGAGAGCCTCTTGAATGGTGAGCCGTTTCCTGAAACAACAATCAGAAAACAGTGATGATTCAGGAGGGCAAACATCTAGAGAAAGACAACCTCCAGGCTTCTCTCTTTTCAGGCTGTACTCTGGCCTTCTTTGACCACCATCTAGCCAGAGTGAGGGAGGCTGGAGGGATGGATCGGAGATGACTACATTCCCCACCTGGGGGGCGGGGCGGGGGTGGAAGAGCTCCAGGCAGACCCTGCACAAGTGAGCTGACATTATCCTCACCTTCAGTTTCCTGGTGAAGGGACTGACCCCTCACCAAGGCGTTAGTGAGCTCCCACAACTCTCCAAATGCCAGCTCTCCATTGTTAAACCTCTGCTCTCTGCTTTCCTTTCTGCCTCCCAGATACATTCTGTGGCCGCTCTGTGTCCAGGCCAGGAGACCTTTACCTACCACTGCCCTTCGTCTAAGATGTCAGGGCCCTTTGTTTTAGAAGAACTGTCCTCTCATCCTGGCCCCACCCCATGGAGGCCATTCTAGATCCCTGCCAATATCCTCTGACCCCCACAGCCATAGGCCTTGTCCTGGGCCCTGCAGGAGTCAGAGTAGCAGGGGTCGTATTAGGATGTCTCCCATTCTCTCACAATACCTGTACTGATCCCTCTGAGCCCACATTCCAACCTGAACTGGCCTGAAACCCTTGCCTATTTGTCTTTTCAGGTCCTGGTACCAGGTACTTCAGGACTGTCTATGGGAACCAAAGGAACTCACACTGATTTATATACACAGAGACTCATAAACACTCAGATTGACATAGGTACACAGAAAGAGAGATAATTTTCAACATTAGAAGAAAGCAGAAAGACTTGAACAAACATGATGAATGCCAAGTCTTGACCAGTCTACACTTCTCAGAACCTGCCCAGCTTAGACTACACGGTGCAGATGCCAGTTCACGGCAAAGTGGGGCAGACTGAGACTTCCTTGGAAGAGAAAAGGGGATACAGCCCATAGGTACTTGGGAACCAGGGCCTTTCTCTGTCTTCTTACCGGGTCTCTTTAACCAGAAGCTTCCGAATGAAGTCCTTGGCCAGCTCGCTTGTTTGGCTGAAGAATTCCTCATCAAAGTCGTAACTCACTGCTGTGATGTTTGCCAGTGTTTCCTGCTTCGTATCTCCCAGGAAGGGGGACGCCCCACTTAGGCTGAACACGACAGAGAAGGAATCACATGAAAGTGTATGGAAATAGGGGTGATGAGCTCAGGGAAACCCTGACTCAGACTGCTGCAAGGTGTTGATAGGCCCCAACAACACAGTTGAACCCTCCTCCCTTGAAGCAGCCAATGAGCAATCTTTTCAGTGGCATCCAGTTCGGTACAATTTCATGGCATGCCTACTGAGAGCCCGACAGGGAGAAACGGAGTCTTTGAGGGACTCAGAGGCTATGGAAGAGAATGGGAGAGACACTGTTCTGTATAGTGCATAGCAGAACCAAGTAGAATATAACAAAGGCCAAAGCGATGGGGGATGAGACAACAGAGGAAAGAGGGTTTCCAGAGCAGGCTTCAAAGTAAAGGTGACATTTGTATCCACTGAATCTTGAAAATTAGAGAGGTTTCCAACAGTTAGAGAAGACGATGGAAGGAGCTAGGGCTAAAGGAAGATAAAGCAACAACACAAGTCGTGTTGAAATAAATGGGCCCTTAGAGATCTGCAACCTTGCAGGACTTTTCAATGATGTGTCATGTCACTGAAACAAAAAATAACCAAATTCATTTTCTCAAGTCAATTCCAACCACTCTTCCTTGGGTTTCTGAGATTGCATCATCTTCCTCTCTGGAGCAGCTAGTGAATTTGAACCACTAACCTTTCCATTCAAAGTCCAACGCTTAACCTACTATACCAGGGAAGTGGGAGGACTTCTGCCCTTACAGGAATCTTAAGGAACTGAAGAAGTCAACACGGCAAAATACAGACTGGAGTCACTGACTTTAGGGAAAGGGCCTGGCGCTGCTGGCTCAGGAGAGGGGACCTGTCATGAGTCAGAATCTTCTACCTTTTCTCTCTGAAGAGAGAACATGACTTCTAAGCACCAAATCAGAACACATGCCTGCAGGCCTGCTAACGCCAGCCCAGCTTCTGGGGACCCTGTGCTCATCTGATCAAGCCCACCACAACCGTCAATACCCAAAACTATGTTCTACAACACTTAGTGTTCTTATTTCTGACTATTCTCCTGAAATGATTAAAAAATAAGACTTGCTCATGGTAGAAAATTCAGGAAAGCACAAGAAGAAAATAAAAGTCACAAACTAACCCAAAATGTTTCAAAGACCTAAATATACAGCCAAGCCTGCTGCCATTGATTGTGCCCCAAGAATGCTAAGACAGAACAGACCTGCTCTATTGTCTTATCTTTCTTCCAGTGGATTCTTCCTACATTCTGTTAGCAGCCTAACACTTGGTCCACTGCACCATCAGGGCTACTTGCTATTCAGCAGGTACTCAAGAATTTCAACTCAAGAAGGCTGCGTGCCCTGGAAATGCTGGCTATTCTCTACTATTTCAGCACGGACAGCAGTGTTCTGAAAAAAACAAGGTGACGGGGAGAAAAGTGCAACGATGAATGGAAATCCAAAGTCTCTGTAAACTTACATTAAAATGAATTTTAAAAAAAATAATGTTTATGAATGTTTGCATGAAATGCAATGAAAACCAATTAAAAGTAATGAATCAATCAAGCAAACAAGAAAAACCATAACCAAAGTGTTTCAGGAGTCCAGAAATATTCTGACTCTGATCCCGAACCATATATACCAAAGGTTGCCAGTGTTCTCTTTGCATCAAGCACTAAGGCGAGGCTCCACCCCTGATGAGCATGATTTAACAGCCCTGGGTGGGGTCTAGGTTGGACATTTTCAATAAAAGTGCTAATGTGCAGCCAAGCGAGCTCTGGTGGCCTAGTAGTAAGAGCTGCTCTGACAACCTAAAGGCGGGTGGTTCAAATTCACCAGCTGCATTACAAGAAAAAGATGGGAACCCTTCCTGAGTGATTTACCTCTGAAAACCTGCTGAAGGGTCAGCTGTAAGTCTGTTCTGACTCAACAATGTGTACATAACAACAACAATGTCAGCTAAAAAGCCACGGTGACTGGTTAAACATTTGGCTGCTAACCAGAACGACGGTAGTTTAAATCCACCAGCCTCTTAATGGGAGAAAAGACTTTATCATAGTAAAAATTCAGCTTAAGACAAATACTGTATAAAACCACTATGATAGAATGTGTATGAAGATTCAAGGGGGGGGGAGAGAAGAGGAGGTGAGGATGATGGGTGTGGGGTGTTAATCATAGGGTCACACAATTTGATAGGGGGAGGTACGGGTGGGAAAAGGAAATGGGAAAGAGCCAATGTGAAAAACAATGTATATGAACTTTGTAAGTAGTAAGTATAAAATAAAAATTTTATTAAAAAATAAATTCAGCCTAGGAAACCTTATGCAGCACTTCTACTCTGTCCCATAGGCTCACTCTGAGTTGGAATCGACACAGTGGCACACAACAGGATGCAATGTGCAGCCAGGGCTGCAGACAGCTTGGGGGTGGCTAAGACGCTGAGCACAGCTTCCAGCCTGGGAGGGAGCTGCAGTGTTTGGTGTCATGCTAACGGTTCTCTTGGCTGCTGAGTGCTGGCTTTCCTGGGCCCCTTTTCAAGGTGGGCAAATTCTACTCCAGTGTGCATCATTTTCCACATGTGCTGTGAGGACACCCTGATGCCACAAATAACGAAGACGTGCAGGAAATGAGCCATATGAGCCAATTTAACCCTCACAACACACCAGTGGTGGGGAGTGGTTGATTTCATATTTATCCGATGTGAAAAATCAGTTCCAAGGTTAAGCAACTTGACAAGACCTTGGAGGTGACAGACCTGGTGCCAGAGTTGACTGACTCCAACCCCAGATATAATCCACTATACAGCTAGGCCATGCAGGCAATACCTGTCGAAGCAATTTAATACTTTGACGGCAGAGAGGAGAGGCTGAAAAGAAGGAGGGAGGAGAGAAAGGAAGAGAGATGAGAGCAAGAAAAGAGGTTCTGGGGAAAGGAGAGGGGCACAAGAGAAGAGGCAGGGACAGGCAGGGCGCAGCCAGCTTCCAGCTGTCCGAGGCATCTGAGTGAAAGCTGATGTTCCTACAGTCCAGCTCAGTCTGGTCACTGCAGGGACAAGGCCCACAGGAGGGAGGACCAGAAGCTGCAAGCCTAATTTCTCTGCCCTACGGACAGACGTCTGAAATGGAGCTCAGAGCTCTTAGCCTCAGGCCTGCTGAGTGGATGTAAGACATCTGGCTCACAGTGGATGCTCAGTAAGTGGTCTGTCTGCCTGTCTGTCTGTGTCTCTCATTCGTCATAGTTCCTCCAGGTCTAAGCTGGGTCTGAACCCCTGGGTTAGGGATACTCACAGGATGTAGGTGATGACGCCTATGCTCCTGCAAAACAAAACACAGCCGAGTCAGAGGGTGCCCAGGCTCCAATCCCAGACTAGCGTTATGTCTCCTCACATGGTTCTCAGAACAGAGGGCACCTGCCTCCTCCACAGTGGCCCCTGGATGCTGGCTCGAGCCCTGTGGCCCTCTGCTTCCCAGGCTTTGTCAGCAACCTGGGCCTAGTTTGGAGTCATCAAGCTCTGGACACTGAGCCTGAAGCCGAATCCAAAGCCAGACACTTGCAAATGCACTTGCTGCCACATGATTTGTGGGGTTCATCATCTCTGAGCCTCTCTCCTCCCTGAGTGAGGATAATGATAACAACTTGACAGGACTATGTCATGAAATGCTGGCAGCATTTCATAAAGCCAACTAACAGATGTGCTTGGCAAGATGTAAAGCATCATTCAAAGAAGTCCATCCATGCAGGGGACCAGTCTCTGCAGTCCCTCAGGCCCAACACAGGGCCCAGAATCTAAGAGGCTGTCCCTGAACACCTGGTGGCCAGATGGAAGAAGCCAGGACTACTACTATCTTTATCACGACTGTGGCAGGCTCTGGGGGCGGCTACCCCTTGGCCTCTCTTCTGTCCTTATCTCCCTACTGTTGGCAAAGCTCAGGGCCAGGCCTACCTACCTTCAGCTGCCCTGGCTGCAAACTCAGCACAGCTGAAGCAGCCAGAGGCCCTGAACGATGAAAACAGAGAAAAGGGTTTTCATGGACAAGAGGGATGGCGTCTCGAGCCAGAGTGTGAGGCCTTCTGCCAGTGGGTCACAGAAATCATGGGCTGACAGGCTGCATAACTTACCACATGTCTGCCTCCAGCCCCAAGGGCTCATAGTTGACGATTTCTGGAGCTGAAAGAAGCCACAATGAAGAATCAATTGGAGTGAGAAAATGATGAGATGCCTATAGGGAACTGTAGGGAACTCAGTGCCACATGCCTCCTTCCTAAATCCCCACTAAGGAAAATCAGATTGACTCATTAAGATGCTCTAGGCCTAAGAATTTTGAGGTGGGAAATTGCCTGTTATCCAGACAGAAACTTTACAGACAGACCTTGATGGTGAGGAAGAGGGAAAGTACATAGGAAAACCAGGAAAGGGAAGAAGAGGATGGGAGTGTGGGTGCAAGAAGAAATGGGGGCTCAGTGGCAAGGCCATTCTAGTTAATGCTTGAAGTTTATGGACAAGAACAGAAACCAGGAGAGGATTAATCTCTAAGTCTAGTATGAAAGAAGACACCTGCCATCTGTGGACATGAGGATACTTTTGAAGTCATTAAATAGATGAGCTTGAGATGCCTGTGAGAAGCATCTATGTCCAGGGGGCAGCTGGGGCTTGGGGTCTGGGCCAGGGCTGTCAAATTTGGCATGATTATCATTCAGATGAAATTATGAGGTGTACAAATGATATGGAAACTGGAATATATTGTAGAGTCTAGGGCAGAAGGCTTCAAGTAGCGAAGACTACAAGGTGCCCAGGGACCGAAAAAGACAAGCATTGGAAAATATCTTAATTGCGCACTCACTGCAGAGATTGAAGGAGTTCTGGTGGCACTAAGACTGCTAACTAAAAGGTCAGTGGTTCGAATCCACAGCTGCTCCATGGGAGAAAGATGAGGCCATTTACTTCTATAAAGATTTATAGCTTCAAATGGGCAATTCTTTTTTTTTT